ACTAGAGGGAAGACGAATAGTTATCACCACCCACCGCCAACTCTTAGGCTTCTCTTTTACCAACGATTAGTGGGATTTACCATCACATTATATCGCCCCTATGAATGAAAGAGCGAGCACGTTCGGTGTGATGGGGATTCGAACCCGCGACCCTCAGATTGCGAGTCGAGCGACCTAACCACCAGGCCTCCAAGAGTTAGTTATGGGGCAGAAAAATAAATTACACTTTCATGTCAATTGGAGTCACAATGCAGGGAAAGGTTAGTAAGCTTAAAAGGTAAGTCCTGATATCTCAGTTGGAGATTCCTGGGGCAGAGCTCTCTAATGAGAAGTTTGTTCCCAGCGCCACCCCGTTGGAATCGCTCCTGATTACGTTGCTAAAATCTGGGTCTTGATTACCCATGGTGGACAGAGCGCAGATAATCCATTGTGTAGCTTTGTGCTAAACAAATATCAAACAGAAATAGAAAAATTATTTGCTTTCAATCAAGTCGAATTATGTCATTTCTTCGGTGGAACAGTTGGCTGCATCGCTCAACACGAGTTTCGGGAAGAGAAAGACACTGCTTGAATATTAACTATAGTACAGACTTTTAGCTACTAATCTCCTATCAGGAAATTATGAAGAGCTTATCATGATTTCTACAAGTAATATTTTGAGTTCCAATAAGTCTTTCACACAACTTGCCAATGCAGTGGTTTTAAATATCGATTCTTTGGTTAATTTCCAGTTGATTATATCCATTGTTGAAATGCCACCAGATGATCTGTGACTTGTTATATTAGTTTAAAAGTATTACCAGTTTGTTTGTTTTTTTCGTTTTTTCCCTCGTTTGATGACACTGAGAAGTTAATTGTTCTGAAAATCTTGCAACAAAGACAAACCACTAAATCGCGTGTGACCAAAAATTGAGCCCATTGTCTTGAAACTTACTCTGCACTGAAAAGATGTCGTGTGTCGATTTGTGTCTGGGAGAGTCGAAATCTACAGCTGTATTGCAGCTGTTTCGGCCAGCAACTGTCAGGTCTTTTAGTTGAATTTTTGATCATTTAGCTGAATTATCTAGATCACATACACACGTTGTTTCTTTTTTTTTACTGTTTTCCCTCCTTAGCGTTGTATTTGTCATGAGTATTTGTGGTTTCTTCAATTTCTGAGACAACGTAGCAGTAAGTTGTACATATTACTATTCTTCTAATGTGTCGTGCTACAAAAACTTGATGACAGCACGGACTTGGTTTTCCAGATCTGCCTTTTTCCTAAGTTCCTTTTCCGATACCGAGTAACTGAGACAGATTGTTTTTCTTAGGTTTCCCGTTTAACTACTTTTTCAGTTAACACTGTTTTAATTTTCGTGCTTTTAGCTGGTTTCACTTTTTTAGAAACTTGTACAACCTTAAAAATAATTTCATGAGAATATAATGTTTCCATTCTGCGAGCTTCCTGTAAAAAATAACTTGCAACTCGCTCATATACTACAGTAGCCTAATTTACAAATATATATTTTCAATTTGTTTAGTTACGCATTTTTGAAATATTTCTATTTTTCGTACTTTGTGAAAGAAAAACAAGAAATTTCTATTCATTAGGGAGGGAAACTCAATGCCTGTTCCTAAGTTAACGTGCCGGACTATGTATCTATAGATCCAACGTTCGCATCCAGTTACCACCAAAAAATCGCGCTCTTCACTTTGAGACCGTGGATACGTTATAAATGTGACAGTCAAATTCCACTATTCGATCCGACAAAAGTAGCTCAAGAGTTCGAGGTAGGTGCTGTTGATTAGCTGTCTTCCTTCTAGTCTATCAATTCAAAATTAGGTGAAGTTAAAGTAGATAGTGCCTGAGCTGCTTTGCGCCAATACCAGAAGCAAAATAGAAATTGACTACCTGCAGCATACATGCTCAACTAGAGTAAACAACGAGAGATGTACCGTTATAAATACACAACGACACTGACATGTCAATTCAGCATACGTGCTCAACTAGAGTACACAACGACACTGACATGTCAATTCAGCATACGTGCTCAACTAGAGTAAACACAACGAGAAATGTACCATTATAAATACACAACGACACTGACATGTCAATTCAGCATACGTGCTCAACTAGAGTAAACACAACGAGAAATGTACCATTATAAATACACAACGACACTGACATGTCAATTCATCGGTAAAATCATGTTAATTTTGCAGCTCCTCTACTTTAACGCCCTAGGCGATTGCCTACTTCGCTCACCAATAACGCCAGTCCTGTATGCAATACTTAAAAAATCTCTGACAGATGGTAGATAGTACAGGTTAATAAAATTTAAAATTACCTAAACCCGCTTATCATGTATGTGCTGATTCTACTGGTTCATATATTTCATAACTTACCAATGATATAGCCCATAGTAACATCATCAGGTAGTCGAATCTTTTCACAGACATTCATAAACCTGCCGCTACTGTAGGTAAAAGTGAAAACAAACATATTCATTATTTTCTCAAGAGACAAACATTCATTTGTTTATCGTTTCTTCAGTTTAAGTTATATATTATAGCTTACACGAAAAGTCCTTAGTTCCCAATATAATTTGCATATTACAAATGTTTGGCCATTTTTTATTATTATTTAAAGGATGTGCTTGCAAGATCTTATTAGTTTGTCAATAACTTTCTGGTTTCAACCAATCAGAAAGTATATATATTTTGTACTTGCCAAGTCATTTTACTTTACTTTAAAGGGGGGTGTGCATGGTTGAACAAATTGTTCTTCAGAGGAGGACGAAGAAAAATGTCGTGAGTTTGTAATTCATGCGCCCCTTTTAGTGTCGGTTATCGTTATATTACCTTGATATGTCTTTTGTTTCCACTCACTTGTTGTGAAACAATACTTGAAGTTGTTGACCAGTTTTCTTAACTTTTCAGTTTTGTAAGTTCGAATATATTAAAATTTCCAGACAGCTCAATTCGGTCAAAGATAAGGAATATATAATTTACATATTTCATATAGTTCTTACAGGACCGTAAGGTTATGGAGCCACGAGGGCCTGAAAATATGGATAACCTTAGGAAGATTTTTTTTCACAATAAACTAATATAAACAAAACCTGCACGTAATAACTTTTATTTTCCGGGATATAACTGGGTTGTGTGATTCAGTTTGACGATAATTGGTTATCACCAGGTAATAAAAATATAAACTTTTAAATGTTTAGTAACCAAACATCTCAAAATTAAGTTATCTTACCTGGCTATAGGCATCATTTTCAAAGCCAAAGCGTTACTGATGCAAAATCCGGCACCTCCAGTTGCAAACCAGAACGATATAATTTTCTACAACATAGAAACAATACATAAAGAAACTGAAAAAAGCGATTACTTTTCTTACAGAAATAACAGAAACTATACATCTCGGTACACCTCAATGTAATATTTATTTATATCTTAACCAGTAATTGATCCTTTCCGTAACATAAACAATTTTATAATAAAAACTCTTTGTAGTCAATGCGCGACATTTATGTAACAAACGTTTTTTTTTTCATGTTGTTGTTATGCACAATCAAGATAAAAAATGTTGTTAAACACGTATACTTTCACGACGAATATATTATGTAATTGTTATTTGCAATATACATAAGTTTGGATAACAAGACCATAAACTGAACCGTTTTCAAAGGACAGAAAAGCGGATCACATTGTAATGCATTCCCTCCAATTAAACCTATAGTAGCCACGTTCTTATTTTCAGGTTTTTTAATCTCCGTGTTTCAAGAGGGCTAAGTCTGTTCATACTTCATAATAACTGAGTAAAAACTAAGTAATACAGAAGTGCTTCGATAACGGGTTTTGTTCGAACCTGCACTCGACCGTGTTACACTTTATTTTATTCTACTCCCCTGCAGGTGGATGGCCTATATATACACTAAACACATGTGTAGGTTAAGTGTTGCTACCAAACTGCTTATGAACGTCACGTCACGAACGTGTTATAATCCAGTCTTGTTTACAACACATATGACAAAAACATGTATATATACACACACATATATCTATATCTATATAGATATACATATATCTATTGCAGCTCTGTAGTCATTTACTTTTCTGCTATTCCACTACTTTTGCTTTGTGAGTAGAAATGTGAATGTTGTTCACATGTTTTTTCTTGATGCAGAAAACTCAATAATAAGCCCAGGTTTGTCTTGTTTCTGGTTGTAGCATGACGGAAACAGAACCAGTTATACAGAAAAATATCGTGTGGTTCTTTCAGTGCGTCACTTTCAAAGTTGAATATTATATTTTTGCATTTAGAATCACGTATCCAAAAAAGTATAGTAAAATCTAGACTATTTTAGGATGGCAGATACGAAGAAACAGTACTATAAAATTGCAGATATTTCAAACACCTTTAATATTAAACGGTCCACTATAAGTTTCCAGTAAAAAGTGCATTAACTTTGGTGGGACGGGGGTGCGAACCCGCGACCCGCAGATTGCGAGGCGAGCGTCCTACCCACCTGGCCATGCCGGCCATTGTGGAATTTATAAAATCTGATAATACCTAGTACTACCTAGTAATACCTAGCTAGTCTGATGAGCTCCCGTATTATGTATGGAACGCAACTGGTGTTATAAGTCTCATTATTGTGGAATCTATAAAATCTGATAATCCCCAGTACTGTGAAGTCTATTCGGCCTGATGAGCTCGAGAAATGCTCCATGCTCGCCCTTTTAGCCGTG